TCAAAGCCAGCCTTAGCAACTTAGCAAGACTCTTAAGCAATTTAGGAGACCCTGTCTCAAAATAAAAGAATAAGAAGGACTAGGGATATGACTTAGCGGTAAAGTGCCTCTGGATTCCATTTCCAGTACCAAAACAAACAAAAAAAGAGTTAGGGCTGGGGTTATGGCTCAGTGGTAGAGCGCTTAAGTAACACACATGAGGCACTGGGTTTGATCCTTAGCACCACATAAAAATATAATAGAGGTATAGTGTTCACCTACAACTAAAAAGAAATATTTTTTAAAATGTGGTACTATATGTACACGATGGAATATTACTCAGCATTAAAAGAGAATAAAATCATGGCACTTGCAAGAAATGGATGGAGTTGGATAACATTATGCTAAGTGAAGTAAGCCAATCCCCAAAAACCAAATGTTGAATGTTTTCTCTGATATGTGGTGCTGATCCACAATGGAGATTGGGGGGTGGAGGTGGAGCATGGGAGGAATGGAGGAACTTTGGATAGGGAAAAGAGGAAGGAAGGGAAAGGAGGGAACAGATGGGTAGAAAAGATAGTGGAATGAGATGGACATCATTACCCTATGTACATGAATGGAGACACGAATGATGTGATTCTACTTTGTGTACAACCAGAGACATGAAAAATTGTGCTCCATATGTGTACTATGAATTGAAATGCATTCTGCTGTCATATATAACAAATTAAAATTGATAAATAAATTTTTAAAAAATTTTAAAAATAAAATAAAGTGTAGTACTTAAAATGGAATAGGATGAAGCTCAAAATCACACACATAAATATAGTAAAATTTGATATATTAAAAGGTAACATTCAGAACCACAGGCAAAAAGAGATCATTTATTCAATAATCATCTAGGACATTGGTTTTTTATAAGGCACAGAAATTAAATTCTTACTTCAAATAATCCTCAAAAATCAATCCCAACTGGATCATGGGCCTAAATATACAATAAAAATCTTTAGATGACAAATTTCAAATATCTATATGACTTCACAACATACCTAAGAATAATTTCTTAAAATATTATAAAAAATATGAACTACAAATATACAAGAAAAATATATATGTATTGTCATACATGCACATGCACACATACACACACACAAACACTTTCCTTAAAATGAGCAAATGATTGGAGTAGGCACTTCACAAAAGAAGAAATCCTAATGCTATTATAAATGGGAAAAGATGGTCTATATCTTTAGTAATCAAATTGTAAGTATAGGGATATTATTTACCTAACAGGTTGGCAAAAAATCTTGAACTCACAAATTATGAATGTTGAGCAATGGGTGCTCTCACACACCACTTTTTGAAATGTAAATTAATACAAGCATTGTCTAATAAATTCATGGCTACACTGTCTACATGAATTCCAGCATGTGTACATCAGCAATCATGTATAATGTTCACAGAAGTAACATTTATAATAACATAAAGTGTAAACAACTTAACTGACCATCAGTGGATAAAATCCACAATGGAGGACATTTAAAAATTTTTTTAAAATTTATTTTTTAGTTGTAGTTGGACACAATACCTTTATTTCACTTATTTATTTTTATGTGGTGCTGAGGATTGAACACAGGGTCTCGAACGTGCAAGGCGAGTGCTCTACCACTAAGCCACAACCCCAGCCCTAAAAATTTTTTAAAAAATAAATCAATGGACCACAGCTATAAAAATCAACATGGATTAAATCTCAGGGACATAATTTCATTTATGAAAGAAAAAAGGTCAATGAATCACATGCATAGAATGTCTTTATCTATAAAAAGAATGAATATATATATTCACACACACACATATACCTACAGGATATATAAATATAAATAAATACATAAAGTTGAGAAAATATACTATGCATAAATATACTGTTTATATCTTTCTCTCTCTCTCTCTCTCTCTGTATATTTTCAACTTTTTTATCCCCAATTCTTTTTATTTTTTGAGACAGGGTCTCACTAAGTTGTTGAAGCTGGCCTTAAACTTGCGATCCTCCTGCCTCACCTCCCGAGTTGCTGTGTGCCACTGCACCCAGTTATATTCTCAACTTTTTTTTCTGACTCTCATTATGGAGATTTTATTTATTTATTTTTTGATCTATATGACAGTAGAGTGTACTTTGACATATTACACATACATGGAGTATAACTTATTCTAATTAGGTTCCCATTCTTGCAGTTGTATGTGATGTGAAGTTTCACTGGAATATTCTTAACTGTTTTTTAACCTTTTTTTAGTTGTTGATAGACATTATTTTATTTTATCCATTTATTTATATGCAATACTGAGAATTGAACCCAGTGCCTCACACTCTACCACTGAGCCACAACCCCAGCCCTATTCCTAAATTTTTCTGGAAGAAAACATACTATGTGTGTGTAAACATATATATGTGTATATATGCACACACACACACACACACACACACACACACACACACACACGTGTACATTTTGTTTTAGGATCTCACAACTATAAAGAGAAGCCAGGACATGATAAGCAAAATATAAGATAATGGATACCCAGTGAGGGTGGGATGGGCCATGGTAGAGGAGTCATGTATCATTACAAAGAGGCCCTCAAGGACTTGCAATGGCATTGACCATTTTCTCTCATGCTAAGAAGCAGCAGTTAGGTGGAGCCGAGCATAGTGGTGCATGCCTGTCATCCCCGCTACTCAGAAGGCCTGAGGCAGGAGGATTGCTAATTTGAAGCCAACATGGGCAACTTATCAAGACTCTGTCTCAAAATAAAAGTATAAAAAAGGGGTGGGATTGTAGCTCAGTGGTAGAATACTTGTGTAGTATGTGCAAGGCCCTGAGTTCAATTCCCTGTACTACAAAAGAAAACATAGCAGTGGTAAATAGATTTTTGTTCTATTATTTAAACTACATACATATGATAATGTATATTTGTGTGATTCATCTAATAATATTAATCAATAAACTTTAATCATATATCCTTTGATACTAACATATTAAAGGTTTTTTCTTAGAAAATTGATCAAGGACATAAAGGATTGGGTAGAGGCAATTGAGAAGTGACCTGGGGAATGGGGTTGACAGAATGCTTACAACGAACATTAGTTTTTCATTTTACCTGTTTCCTATGTCTATCTGACAGTCCTTCATACATTGCAATACTAAATTCTTAGTCTCTTCTCCCTTAAATGCTTTCTAGCTGCTGACCTCTGTTTTCATTAAAGACCAACATCTTTACAGTTACCTGTACTCCTCTGCCTCTCACCTTTTCTCTGAGCTTCTTTGATGTCAGCTGTCAGCTTTCTCTTCATATGTGTTGTTCTATAGCTATATCATATTTCCACTAATAACCTATTAATTGTTTGATTATTTATACAAACATATAACACCTGAGCATCTTGGGGAGTGAGCTGGGGAATAGGATTCAAACCCTATTTAAAACAAAAATTCAAAAATGTTGATTAAAGGTAAATGAAGTGATCATTCAGAAAAAAATTAGTTTGGAAACTTCTATTATTAATAGCAGCTAATAGTTTTTGAGTTCATACTATAAGATGGAATTGTTCAAAACATGCATGTGAGTACACACACACACACACACACACACACTTTATTTGTAGATGGACACAATACCTTTATTTAATTTATTTATTTATATGTGGTGCTGAGGATTGAACACGTGCACTGAGCCACAACCCCAGTCCCACTATTCAAAGCACTTTAAAAGTACTATCCAGGGGGGCTGGGGTTGTGGCTCAGTCGTAGAACAGTTGCCTCGTGTGTATGAAGAACTGGGTTTGATTCTCAGCACCACATATAAATAAATGAATAAAATAAAGGTCTGTCAACAATTTAAAAATATTTTTTAAAAAGTACTGTCCAATTTTGGAGATGATAAAACAAAAAGCACAGGTTAAAGGGCTGGGACTGTAGCTCAGTGGTAGAGCATTTGCCTACCACATGTGAGGCTCTGGGTTCGATCCTCAGCACCACATACAAATAAATAAATAAAATAAAGGTATTGTGTCCATCTACAACTAAAAATATATTTTTTAAAAAGCATACAGGTTAAGCAACATTCCTAAAATTTCACTGGCATGTAAGTTTCAGGCAGGATTTGAACCTGGTACTTCATTTAGGGGTATCTGTATGGCTCAAAATTGGGAAAAGTTGTTTGTTTCATTTTGTTTTGTACTGGGGATTGAACCTAGGGGCACTCCACCAGCCCCTGCTCCCTTTTAAGTATTTTTTAGTTGTAGATGGATACAACACCTTTTAATTTATTTATTTTTATGTGGTGCTGAGGATCAAACCCAATGCCTCACACATGCTAGGCAAGTGCTCTACCACTAAGCCACAACCCAAGTCCCCCTTTTACTTTTTTTAAATTTTGAGACAGAGACATATTAAATTGCTCAGACTAGCTTTGACCTGGCAGTCCTCCTGCCTCAGCCTCCTGAGTCCCTGGGATTACAGGTTTGCGCCCAGTTTGAGAAAGATTTTTTTTTAGAGACTGGAAGAGAAGGGCTGGGGTTAGAGCTCATGGTAGAGCGCTTGCCTAGCTAGCATGTGTGAAGCCCTGGACACAATCCCTAGTGCCAGAAGAAAAAAAGAAAAAGAAAAAAAAAGACTAGGATAAGATTATAAAACAGAAACGAAACAGGACTCAGAGAATATTAAACAAGTTTTAAGAAAGTAGAGAGCAAAGTGTGAAAGAAGAGTTAACAATAACACATGTGGGAGAACATCCTAGAAGGCCCCAAGTTTCTATTAAGCCCTAGAACATGTGAGAGCAGGCCCACAAATAATAATGAAGAGGTGATTTCTTTGAATCAAACTGAGCTGTCATTTGCAAAGATTTTGTTTGTTTTTCAGTGCTGGGGATGGAACCCAGGACCTTGTACATGCTAGACAAATGCTCTGCCAATGAGCCACATCCCCATCCCACCTGCAAAGGTTTTTTCCTGCCTATTCCTCTTCACTCACCTGAACACAAGCCATTTGTGAACTCTCTCTTCACCATCCATGGCTCTTTTCCTTGTTCCAACAATATTATCACACTTGGCTTAGAAAAGCAAAGACCTGCACATATGGAAAGAAACAGTACTTGGTCATGCTGTGGATAGCCCAAAACTCAGATTGGATCCTTGGACAGTCAGGGAAGATGGAGCTTACAGGAAGTCAAAGAAAAATGTGTAAAGGACATGTATCAGGAGGACAGGGAAGATAAAACTTCAGACATAGGTCAACAGTAGACTTGTCCACTACCAGTGTCACAAACATTAAACCATTTGTTTGGCACAGCCAGCAGACACTTTTGGATAGCAGCTATCCAAAAGTTTACAAAGGTGGTAGCAAAGAAGAAGTACAGTTCTGTAAGGGGAAGATATCCTTACCCAATGACACCAAGATGTTATAGTTTTCCAACATCACATTACTGTATAAATGCCTCTGAGAGGAATCCAGACAATTCCACTCTTCTTGGGAGAAGTCTACAGCCACATCTCTGAAGGTCACCAAATCCTGAAAGAAAATAAATGAATTAACTTCCTCCCTTATCATGCTCACATCATTTACTCTGACCCAAGCATACAGGGTTCTCCCTTATACTGCATTCTTAAATATGTCTGCCGTGTTCCCCCTGTGGGCCTCAGATTATTCTGTATGAAAGAGCAATGCTGGTCAGGCATGATGGTGCACACCTGTAATCCCAGCTATTAAGAGGCTGAGGGAGGAGGATTTGCAAGTTTGAGGCCAACCTCAGCAACTCAGCAAGATCTTGTGTTGGGAGCTGCCCTGGATGCAAATGCCCTTAAGTCCTGAAGCACTGGGTTTTGACCAATTATTGCCTTCAGTCTGGAACAGCAGTGCCAGGTAGCAGTAACTTGGGTGTTACCCTGCTCAGATAGTGAGGCGTGGCTCCAGGTGTAGGTCACCCACCAAGGGTTGAGCTACACTCACCTGTTCCTTTGTAATCCTACCCCTTGCCTCATTTGAATGGCTTCTTCCCAATAAAAGGGTTCAGCTCATGCTCCTCCTCACTCTCTTTCTTGACTGCCTTGCACCCCTTGTAGGAGCTGCAGCTGAGGAGTGGTCACTAACTCAAAGGAAAGGTACTTTCTGTGTCTGTGTCTTTATTTATTCCCTAGATTCACTTGGAGTAATCCTGACTGGTTTAATCGTGAGACTCGACAATCTTGTGTCAAAATAAAATAAAATAAGGGCCAGGGATATAGTTCAATCCCCCATCGCGCTCTTTCT